CACCTTGCAGCCCACATGTTAAATCACATAGTAAAAATACAAACTCAAAAAAATGTCCTTAGTGCCTTATTTTTACCTGCTGAAGGACCCAAAAGTAGTTCTAATTAAGTTTTTTGAAAGTAAAAGTACAGTGAGTTGTCTCTGCTTTTACTCACTTGCACCTGTCGACTGGATATGTTACATATGATTATATTATTATATATTACTGTAGAGCTGCATCGACCTTCAGTCTGTTTTCCATGATTCCATGCTTTACAGGGTTTTGAATATTACATTTTTTAATTACTATATATTTTCAAATTCATTTTAATGTTTTGTTTTTGTTATTGCTAATTAATTATTTCCTATAAATAAAATCCAGCTCTCTACTGATCATTTCATCAAACTGAGGACAAACATTGATTTAAAAAACAAAAAGAAGACTGAAAGCTTCGCCTCTGTGGTGCAACACGCAGGTATTGCAGCCAACAGGTGTCTAACATGCAGGTGTGCTGGTGCCGCCCCCTGCTGGTCACTCACCTGTGTGTCCGTAGAGGATCTGGCAGCTGTTGGTGAGCAGCTCGAACACCTTCAGCTGGCAGCTGTTGGTGGCCACCACGATGTGACTGTCGCCTTTACCCAGGAACTTCACGTCCAGCACCTCGTCGCTGTAACCCACAAACTGGAGGCAAAGACAACAGCAGAGAGGACGGTGAGCGCTGATTCTGATAAACAGGAAATGTACAGAAACACACACCCGCTCTGTGATACGGCTCAGACAGCCCACAAATCAGCAGAGAGTGAAAATGTAAATAAAAAGGTCTTATTGTTCTATTCAGATAAAGCACATATGAGACAGTGACAACCTTTAAGTCTAAAGCAAAAAGAAACTGCTAACCAGTTCATCAATCCACAGATTTCAGGGTTTACTGAAATCGTACTTCGTCACATATGCTGCCGAGCTGACCTGCTCTGGAGCAACTTCTGTTCGAGATAACAGATCAACAAATGTAAAGGCATCACATCCGGACTGTTCAGCTATCTAACGAAATGGCATCACCTCTTCTAGGGGAGCCTGCATCTCTAGGAGACCACGTAAACGATTTCAGAAACAAGAATTCTCAGCAGAGAGAACTCCAGACTTCGTCGCTTCATTTTTTCCCTGTTAACAACGAGCCATGTTATTGTTCTGCAGGCCTTTGGATGAAGTCCTTAAACGGGGACTGATTAAACTCACTTCAAAGCTTGAATGATGATTTTAAATTTGTTCTTTGCTTGCTCTCAGAAAACACTGTCCGGCTTCACGGCTGAAGGATTAACGCTGAAACTGTCTAATTCACCATAAAAACATTCTGCATCTACATCTATCAGATAAATAAACAACTGCAATCACAGTGGGAGCTACTCGTGTTTTAAAGATGGAGCTCTTCGTGGCTGCAGCAGCTGTGTCGCTCTCAGCAGGTATCAGATTTTTAAATCCCTCTTATTTGTTCCTCTAGACCTGATCATGTCTACGACTGCTCATCTTGTGCCAACGGCGCCTTTTTAATGTGAAGGTGACGGATAGATGTCTTGTAAGTTTACAATCAGCTTAGTGCGACAGCAACAAAAAAATATCCTGCGTATGACGAATTAGCTAAAAGGCCTCAGATGTTTGGACGTGTCATTTCCCAGCGATCGGCATCAGTAACCGGTTCCCACCTGCTGCTGTGTGCTGAGACCAGGCAGCTGGTAGAGCAGGATGTTGTGTTCTGCAGTGACCGTGGCGAGTCTGGAGGAGGCGGGCAGGTGGAAAAGGTACGTCAGACTGCGAGGATTGTCCTGCTCCTCCTCCTCTTTCTCCTCCTCGTAGACGGAGGTGAGGGTGGCGGGGAGGGACTGGGTGTAGACACAACGGGCCGAGCCGGCCTCCCAAACCCTCAGTACACCTACAGGGAAGAAGACAGACTCTAGACTCGTGCAAAGGAACGCAGACTTTATGTTCAGGGATGTTCAAGAGCCAAACCTTTGCTGCCAGCTGTGATGAAATGCAACTCTTTGCTCTTCACTCCAATCTCAGATAAGTCTGTGTTCTCAGGCAGAAGCACGACGCCCTCCACAGCCTGCAGATTAACACATCACGCACAAATGAAGCAGCAGGAAGAGTATAAAAACAATTAATGTTCTTATTTCTTACAGTCTTACCTCATACACCGGAACAGTCCTCTTGGCCTGGCGAGTTTTCAGGTCCCACACTGTACAGATCTTGTCCCGTCCAGAGCTACGAACACAGATCAGTTACACACAGCTTCAACACACAGAACTGCACAACAGTTTGATTTAAAGCATCAGCCGTCCGGCTCAGTACCTGACCACGGTGTCGCCGTCAGGGCTGAAGCTGAGCGAGGTGACGGCGCTGTAGTGGCTCTGCAGGACAAACACACACTGGCTGGAGCGAAGGTCCCACAACCGGATGCCGCAGTCCAGCGACGAGGAGAAGAGCTGCAGGCGCTTGATGTCTGGGTGGAACTGGACCAAGCTACACAAAGGAAAGCTCAAATATTTCCTCCTTGTTGCCAAATCAGCAGTTTCTTATAAAACCTGTGGTGTGAGTGGCCTATAAGAGCAGCTTCTTTTCGTTAGGAATACTTTTTTCTGCACTATTTTGTGTTGGTGTTTGCAACATTTACTGTTTACATACTATATTATATGATCTATGTAAACTCCTGATTGTGTGACGCCAAGTTCTGCAGTAACAAATAACTTTAAGAAACAAGCTCTAGGCTGTGTGTAGTTCGTAGATTCTGGGACTTACTGTACAACACCAGAAGAGCCTTTAAGGTTGTGCGTGCAGTACTGCTTCATCACATCCCAAAGCTTTATAGTCCCATCACAGCCACCTGCAGGACGACACAAACAGAGCACGATAAGACGTCTGTGTGGCAGAGATCAGACAGAAGCTGGTTGTCACTGTTAATGTGGTGACTGACCCGTGGCGAGGAGCGTAGAGGTGGAGTCAAAGGTCATACTGGCTACAGGAATGGTGTGAATCGCCCTCCAGGACCGAGTGCAGCTGGCCTGCCTCCAGTCCCACTGCTTCAGCAGCAGAGCCCTGCTGGCTGTGACCAGCATCTGTGGGGAGACAGAGAGCAAAGACAAGCTGAACACAGGCTGACAGTCAAATATAATGACACCACACCAACAACTGTGGAGTCTGAATGAAGTGGTTCAGGTGTTTGCTTACCTCATCATCACAGCTGAGTGCAAACGATGTGATGTCCTCCTGATCATCCTGCAGGCCCAAAAAAATCAAAATGGTTCCATCAGTGAGCAGATACTTGGTGTACTTTATATTTATTATGAGATGGAGAAAAGTTTTTATTTTTATGTAAAGAGAGAAAAGATGCAGGAGCCCAAATGCCTAAAGGCTTCCTACTACCTACATATATATATATATATATATAAACTATCATCAGTAACACAACTCAGTGTTAAATACCAGATCATAAATGAGAAGAGTTACAAGCTACAAACAGAAGCTTACACTTGTCAGTTGACTGTTGCTGTTACTCATCTTTAAATGTGCAAATACAAATTATTACAATTTCTGTCATAACATCAAGAGAGAAGCTGCAGTGAGTTTATCTAACTGTACTCTGGACTCACATGCTCAACACAGTGGACGATCTTTCCCGTGCTAATCTCCAAAACATTGACACGAGATCCACATGTGCAAAAGATGTATTTTTCATCTTTGCTGATCTGAAAAAAAAACAACACACATTTAAAAGGTTAAAGGGCAAATGCAGGCTGTAAAAACATCTGCTGCTACTCGTCTCACCACTCTGTCTAGTGTTTATGTTTTATTATTTGTCGTCCGTTTGTCTGTTTCTACTATTCTTTCTTTCTTCCATTTCCTGTAACCCAAACTGGCTGAACCAGATGTCCTTCCTCCCTGAGCCTGGTTCTGCTGGAGGTCTTCCTTTCCACTGTCACAAACATGCCTGAAATCTTTGGACTGTATAATTTTGTACAGTTTTCATTTTTTAAATTTCAGTTTGTCAGGTTAATTTGTATTTAATGTTGCAGGATCTTAACTTAAATATTTCATTTAGGCAAGTAAACCTGTATTTTATATAATATTGTAGCCTAATATTCAAATTACTCCGGTAAATTAACATTATAAATAACACTTCAGGGTCTCAATCTTAACATTCAAACTTGTTGTGTAAATTAGTGAATCCAGCTTATTTCTCTACTAGAAAACACTTTGGCTCAACAGCTGCTGCTTTAAATGTGCTGAATAAACAACACCGACTCTGGAGATGCTTTGTCGGGTATTTGCTTGGAACTCGCATTATACCAAAGGATTTCTTTGTCTCTACTCAATGCCAAATTTTCCTCTGGTAAGTCTCTCAACTTTAAAACAATGCAGCATTACAATAAAAGAGGTGAAAAGGTGAAAGGTGAGAGTCCCAGTGACAGCACTTCTCTGGCCTCTTCCCCTCACCACAGTCACTCAGCGCAATAACAAACACCTTTTCAATACTACTATTATCATTATGCACTTTTCTGTTTGTTTGCACTACATGATGTGAGATTTTGCACATTCAAAGGCAAAAAAATAAGAATCCACACAGTCTTGCACAACCTGTACAGCTGTCTCACTTAAATAACAACAACTGCTTTTACTTCTAAACCAGCTTTGACTTGCTGCATCTGCGCTCGTTTTATTGTTCCTCTATCACTTACGTTTATTTTACTTGCAGCTTTCTTTTTTTTCATCTTTTATCATTCTTTAATGTGTCACTTGCCAGTGTTCGGTGTTATGCACGGACACCCCACATGTAAAAACCCCACATGACGGATTCTGATTGATTAAATCCCTGGATTCCCTGTTAAGCATCACTTCAAACTGGTCCAGCACTTTCCACACACTCAGAAAACGCACCTGCACTTTGCCTCCTTTGTAAAAAGGCTCGATCTTGCTGGAAACAGCGTAACTGTGGGAGAATAAGAGAAAAATGACCGTTACGTTTAACAACTTTCACTGACACGTTAGCCTTTAGCTTGTGTTAGCCATCTAGCAAGTTCTGCAGCCTACACGTGTGAGGAGCCAAACTCACTTGGTCTTGAATTGAAGATTTGTATTCGCCATTTTACATACGAGAAATATCCCGAACTCAATATTTCAGGAACTCCAGGCAACTTAAATTACTTATATCTCATCTCACACGTTGTCAACACATCCAGCGCCGCATGCTGACAGTGGAGTCGCACACGTTATACGTCATCAGGACGCACAGAGCTGTGATTGGTCAGATGCTTTCCTCACTGTTACGCTGAATTCCCGCTTCGATTGTAAACGTGTAAATAGAAATAAATACATAAATAAACCACACTGACTGGTAGTTTATGGGAATTTAATATGTGACTAATAAAATGTATGTTTCTATGTTTTGTTTGTGAACCACACAATAACAGAAATATTATGTTTAAAAGTCCGAGTGGAGTTTGGTGCTGGAACAGCAGGGAAATAAAAGAACGCCATTATCCACCTTCGTTTATATAATTTATTGTTTCTATTTGTCCGAGCGCGCGCGCGCGCACACTCACACACACACACACACAGACACAAACAACACACAACACACAGAGACACACACTGGTCCCTCCTTCATGTTTTGTCAGGAATGTTCATGTGTGTGTTGTATTGATAACGCGGGTGTGTGTTCCTGCGTGTGACCTGTCAGAGGATCGATATGGAGTAAAGCAGCGCCGGGGATGAAACACGGTGGGGAAAGGAGGTTATCATGGTGAGTGGACAACAGCTTCTCTTTGTTTGTTTGTTTGTTTGTTTGTTTGTTTAGGCTATTTATTTGTTTTAACTTTGATTTAAATTCTTAGTTTTATTGGCGAATATTCGCGGTCAATTTGAAACATACATTCGTCATACAAGAACAGCTCTCTATCATTCGCTTGGCCCTTTAAGTATATACCACTGTAAAAGTATCATGGTACTTTTTATATCTTAAAATAAATAAAAGTGTCGTTAGGGATAATGTCAAATGTGTGTAATTATTTTATAGCCCAAATATCTCATGTTTAGTCAGTAGAAATTGACTTTTGTCGAAGGGATTGTGCTCACTTTTTGTAATCATGTGATCAGTCATATGACTTTCCAGAACAATTCCATTTTGTTGTCTCTTTCCTTTATGTTGAAAACACTGAGCAGAGCTCATAGGCGGCTGTGGTGACACGGTGCACTGCTGCAACTCACAGCCTGTCCACCTGAAATACATGGTAAAGACTTTACACCATGTTAACCAGGACTGAGGTTGTGTTTGTTTTGACCACATCCAGGCGGACCCAGAGGTGTCGACACAGAGCGGGGGCTACGATGTGGAGCTGTTTGTGGACACTCCAGACTACGATCTGATCTGCACCATATGCCAAGGGGTCCTCAGGTGTCCAGTAAGAGCTGCATGCCACCACATTTTCTGCAAGAAATGCATCTTACAGTGGCTAAAAAGGTAGTGAATGCATCTGATCAATATCAATGGAAAAAATGCAAACACAATGGTGCTTTAATTAGGCATATTTATTGACTCATCCGCATGAAAGATCAGGGATTGACTGTTATTTGTCCTCTGCAGACAGGAGACCTGCCCCTGCTGCAGGAAGCCGGTTAACCCCAGTTTGATCTTTGTCATGTTCAAGCTGAGCAAGTCAATTGGACGAATGAAGGTCAAGGTAGGAAGCAAACAGTGTTACACACACTCATAGTTAATGTAATTATCAATCTCTAGTTTAGTGGCTGCATTTGTGCTGGTTCTTCATTCAGGCCTAGAACTGCCTGGCTTGTTTGTGGGGAACTGTGATCCTACGAATATTACTACTAATTATAATGACACCTTTTTTATATAGCACTTTTTCTAAACAGAGTTTGCTATGTGCTTCACAGACAAAAGAAAGATACTCAGGAAGAGCAATGAACCACAGAAGGCCAGTTGGTCCAAACAAAAGGAGATCAGAGAGGCAAAAGTGGATCAATAAAGTTCAACATGGTTAAAGATTTACAAAATAAATCATTTCAACAACACTAAATAATATAGTAAAAGAACCAAAAATGCCATATCCAAGTAAGGAAAACAAACAAAATCGAATAAATTAAAATAGAGTGTTAAATCATAAAGACGAGGCTAGATGCAATAACAACAATAGCAATACTAACTAAATAAAATAAATACATAAATAATGATTGGAGTCGTGTCACTTTATCGATTTGACTGTCTGTAAGTCAAGGTTCAGCTGGTGATTATTGTCATTATTATTTTTGCCAAATTACTACTTTTTCAAACAACTAACCACTCATTTAATTCTGAAAATAAATAAAAATGCTTTCTCAGATCTGAAGATGACTTATGTTTTCCCAACAACTCAAAACCCTAATATATTTAATTTGCAATTAGAACAAAGAAAAGAAGCGAATAAAGCCAAACTGTAACAAGTGAATATTTGACATGTTTGCTTGCTAAACAATCTCTTTAAATTGAAAAGGTAATTAATTTTCTTATCATATTTCAAGCCAATTAGCTGCCCTATCTCCATCCCTTCAGGCAGATGAGAATAAAGCCATGTCCGGCTCTGTGATTACTTCTGTGTGTCTGTTCTCTCCCAGTGCAAGAATGAGATCCGTGGCTGTGAAGAGACCTTCCCCCTCTCGGAGCAGTACTGCCACAGCATGAGCTGCCTGTTCGAGCTCATCCCCTGCCCCTACCAGGGCTGCAGGGCTCAGCTCCTCCGCAGGGACCTGGACACCCACGCTCGCCACTGTGAGCACTGGAGGCAGCCCTGCCACATGGGCTGTGGGACGATACTCTCCCACCGCACCCAGGCCCAGCACAACTGCTACAAGCAGCTGAGGCAGGAGTATGAAGCCAGGCAGAGGAACCACAGGGCCATCGCCACGGCCCTGCAGAGGAAGATGAGGAGGATGCAGAGCACTATGGCCCACATGAAGCGACAGATAGGGCTCATCTGTGAGAGCCTGGAGGTGATGGATGACCTGCATGAGGTGGAGGAGGAGGAGCTCGGGGAAAGCAGCGGCAGCTCCAGCGGGACTCCAAGCAGCAGCAGCAACTGCTGAGAGACCAGCCAGGGCTGGTGGCTACTGCATGTGGTTATTCAGATGAAGGTGTGTGTTTGGAACATGTGGGTATTTGATTAAATTGGGTGCATTTGTAGCAGTTTTGTGATGTATTTTCTTCTATTTTGTAAATAAAGCATTTAACATTACTTTGTCATTATATCTGCACCTGGTCTCAGTTCAAGAAAGGAGGAGGAGAGGAAACTACATCTTCATTGACAAGTCAATCAGTCAAACTTATTTATATAGCACCTTTCAAAGCTACAAGTCTATTTATGTAGCGCCTACACAGAGGTTGTTCAAAATGCTTGACAGGCAAGAAAAACAAAACTGATGAAAACATGCAAAAGGTAAAATACAAAATGCAGCAGAGTAGAATGCATTCATTAATTTAAAAAATACAGCCAAGTTAAATAAAAGGCATACACATTTTATAGAACAATTAAAACTGACAAAAAAAGAAAAAGAACAACATGGAAAAGATAAAGCTCACAATGAAATAGTGAATAAGAGCACAAACAGCTTTAGTAAAACTACTGGCAGTTTAGACCAGGCTTTACAAAATTATATTTTCCAGTCATTGAACAGTTTTTATTTTTCTTTCTTTTCTTTTCTTTCTTTCTTTCTTTCTTTCTTTTCTTTTCTTTTCTTTTCTTTTCTTTTCTTTTTTCTTTTTCTTTCTTTCTTTTATGAAAAAAAAAATACTTTATTCATCCCAGAAGGGAAATTCAATTTATTTTATTTTATTTTATTTTTTATGTTTCTTTCATTGAAAAAAAATAAAATCCTGCTCCCTCCCACACAGCCTGCTGTTGGCATCGCCCTGTCACACTTGAACTTGTTCCATGGTTCTGATCCAGGTTGTTCTGTTCTGACTAGATCCCTGCTTGTGTTGGTTCTGCTCTCAGATGGACGTCGCTTTGGATAAAAGCGTCTGCATTTCACTGCGCATGGTACCGTATAAAGCCTATCTTCAGTCTTGAATCTTGTGTTTGAACAAACTGCCAGTAGGAGCAGTAGTGAGACGGTGTTGTCGTGTTGGAAATATCGCGATAACTCCTCCAGATAAAACCCGCCGGCCCCTCCGTCAGGTCTTCTTCCTGTTATACTGATCACGTAAGTTCAACATGGAGGCATTCTTTCTGCGTTACATCCTTCGTTATCTCAAACATCCTCGGTCCAAACACATTAATTTCACTTATAAGATGAAACGTAGACACGCTAAATCCAAATCCCGTGTGTATTTATTAACGGATTATTACATTATTATAGTTATTGTTAGAAGATTGTCTGCCGTAAATATGGCGGCGATTCTCGTGTCCTGCGAGTTAACTGAGTTCCACGTTTCCTGTCTGAAGCTGTTAATGACTAAATACAGTGTAATGAAGATGTTTGTTCTGCTCCGCAGCAAATGGCGGACGACGCCGGTGGTAGAGGAGGTTTTCGCGGAGGTTTTGGAGCCGGTGGCCGCGGCCGGGGCCGTGGACGCGGCAGAGGCCGTGGCAGGGGCCGCGGTGCCCGGGGCGGCAAGTCCGAGGACAAGGAGGTACGTGTCGGACTGTTCGGTATTACAGAACCTCTGTCATTATTTCTGTATTTTATTTGGTTTAATGGAGACGCTCTCTCCTCTGTAGTGGGTTCCAGTCACCAAGCTGGGCCGCCTGGTTAAGGACATGAAGATCAAGTCCCTGGAGGAGATCTACCTGTACTCTCTGCCCATCAAGGTGAGCAGCATGATGAAGATGACTGACAGGGAGGTGTGCTGCATGCAGAGGAGGGCAGTGGTGCTGCTTCATGAGCAAGTCTCAGCATCATAGTTGGTCCCTTTTGATTTTGAGCACAAGTGTTTGAGCTCGTGATGCACGATATTAACATTTATGACCGATACTAAGATTTCTGATATTACCGATGTCGATATTTAATTTTTGTTGACACCAAAAATAAGTGTAAGTACGCACTGTAGGAACGTGAAAACTATTCAATAGAAGCCCAAATTAGTCCACACAGTCTTCTTTATCACGTAACAAAAGTAAAACATGTTTAAACTTATTTTAACATATTTAAGTCCAGGACCATTTCAGTAAAAACATCTGTGGAGCGTAGAGACAAAGGCGCTGATGGTAGACAGTCATCGGTACCGGTATCTCGTGCACCACTAGTTTGAGCTTTAAAACGTGCAGTCCAAACACACTCATGCTCAAACGCTTTTTAAGCCAGTTTCCAAAGTTGCTGGATGGGAACTGAAAATGCTATTTTATTTAAATCGTTTAACACGTGATACAAATATGAATACAGGAAGATGAATACACTCTGCTTTTCAAAGGTTTTATTGCTAGAAACAGATATTTAGCTCAGTGAGCCAATTAAAGTCTGACTCCATGCAAAGCACACACTGGGGCTGATGTACTGTTTAGAATAAACACCCTGTTTAACATATTTATCTCACACTGTCTGGTTTGCTGTGCTGAAGTGTACAGACTCGTACTTTAACTATTATTTTCTTTGTCAGTTATTGTCCTGATTCATTGATTAGTGTTTAGTCTGCAAAATGTCAGAAAGTAGTGAAAAATGTTGGCCAGTGTTTCCCAAAGCCCGAGATAACATCTGTAGAGGTTTTGTTTGGTCCACAACCCAAAGATGCTCCGTTTAGCATCACAGACTATGTACAGACCAGAAAACTGTCTGATTTAAGAGGCTGGAATCAGGATTTTGGATTTTTTCCTTTCAAAAGTGACTCAATCACTTGTCAAAACAGTTGTCCAATACTAAATTGGCCGCTAACTAATTGATGAATTGTTGCAGTTCTACAAACTTGCATACTGTGTGATGGAAGATAGCACAATCTCCATGAAGAGAATTCCTGAAAACAGATCATCCGATTTATTCAAACTGATGTTTTCTTTTTTCCTCTAGGAGTCTGAGATCATCGACTTCTTCCTGGGTTCTGGTCTGAAAGACGAGGTGCTGAAGATCATGCCTGTCCAGAAGCAGACCAGGGCCGGTCAGCGCACCAGGTTCAAGGTGAGTGTTGTCAACCCTGTGAAGGTCGTCTCTTGTGACTCAGCAGCATCCTGTCCTGCTAAAGATGTTGTAACTCTAACATTGTTGGCTCCTGTCTTTGCTTGCAGGCCTTTGTAGCCATCGGCGACTACAACGGCCACGTGGGTCTGGGGGTGAAGTGCTCCAAGGAGGTGGCCACAGCCATCCGAGGTGCCATCATCCTGGCCAAGCTGTCCATTGTCCCCGTCAGGAGAGGTTATTGGGGTAACAAGATCGGCAAGCCCCACACCGTGCCCTGCAAGGTGACCGGTCGCTGCGGTTCTGTCCTGGTGCGTCTGATCCCAGCACCCCGTGGTACCGGCATCGTGTCCGCCCCTGTGCCCAAGAAGCTGCTCATGATGGCTGGTATCGATGACTGCTACACCTCTGCCAGGGGCTGCACTGCCACTCTGGGCAACTTTGGTAAGACTCTCCTCCGGCCTTGGTGCCGTTTTTCTGGGTTTCTCCTTGCTCTGCCCAGCTTCGCCTCTGCAGTGGTGTTGTTGACGTTTTCAGGAGAGAAAGAAACGAGTAATGCACGGCAGGAAGACGCCTTTGTGGCCTTCTCTGTTCCCATTTAACAGCTCAACACTTCCTCTCATTGGACTGCAGCGTTTGTACACGAGAGCGCCAGGCGTCCACTCATCGTTTCTTCTTTCCCTCCTCAGCTAAGGCCACCTTTGACGCCATCTCCAAGACTTACAGCTACCTGACCCCTGATCTGTGGAAGGAGACAGTCTTCACGAAGTCTCCCTACCAGGTCAGTACACCGCCGGCACAGCTCGTCATGATTCATAACGTATGAAATTCATGTGTGTGACCAGGCTTTCTGCTTGTTCTCATTACAGGAGTTCACCGACCATCTGGCCAAGACTCACACCAGAGTGTCCGTGCAGAGGGGACAGGCTGTCCAGGCCGCCGCCTCCTAAACTTTTTGTACAGAGAACCGTTAAATAAACGTTCTGAAACACCACTTGCTTTGTGTAGTTTTGTGTTACATGTGCTAAACCAGTGACAGAACACGTGGTTTGGAGGTAGACTGGCTGCGGTAGTCTTTTTCCTTCATGAGGGTCGTGGTGCTGATGTGGGTGTAAATAATTGGCCCAACTTGAACATTTTTGTGTCCATAATTCACTTTGCAGAAAGGAAAGCAGATGTAATTTAGCTGCATCATACAGTTTGTGTCACAGAACGGCCTGTTGACACCTGTCAGCAGATCATAACTGATCTTTATTAAGCTGCAGGTGGAGCAGAGGAAAGCAGAACCTGCTGGCAGGTTGAAACAAGCTATTTGCTGACCTGAAGCCAAGTTTAGCTCAGACCAGAGGTGACAATGTTCTGGACCTTTTAAACCTCTGGACTTTAGAGATTTTCACAATGACATGTCTTTCATGTCGAGATTGTTTAATTCTGTGTTTGTAGCTATAGTTTGATTTTCTTATTTCATTATCTGTACTTTTCAGATTAAAACACAATTAGCTCAGTCTGTTTATACGGTTCTGCAGCATTTATTCTGTGAAAATAGTCTTGTCTTTATCTTGCATTACAAATACTACGTTTAAGAGCTGTACAGTTGCAGAAAGGAGTCACAGATGTTTGAGTTTTAAATCGTTTTTCAGGTTCGTCTAATTTTTAAGCCATAAAATATGACTTCCCAACATCTAATATGAAAAGGAATAATGTCAAACATGTTCTAAGCTGCAGGCTCTGTCTTGAGACGTTAGGAGGAGCAAAATAACGAAAATGCAAATATTGAACAGTAATCTTGGAGTCCTGCAACAGCAGACACAAGCAGACACAGCATCACTGTTCGAGCATCCTTTTCCCACCACAAAACTAAATGCACAAATAAAAATTAAGTTTGAGATAAACCTTTTAAGTTGTCAATAAAGTTAAGTAGGATTTAAAGCTAAATTCAAGCTCAGTTAACAGGTTAAACCTCAGTTTAGCTCGATAACCTAAAATGCTGCTTTGTAGTACAGCCCTCAGAGCCCAGAGTGAAAAGACAGACATGATTTATCACATCAACTTTAATTTACAATCTTGACATAGGACAGATGGAGAACTGTCTTTAAGCCTGCTGGGCCTGAGCTTCCATCATTCGCTCTTTCTGCTTCATTAGACATTTCCTCCCACTGGCGTACGCTCCCAGGTCTCCATCTACAAAGAGGCCAGCAAAAAATTAAAGGTGAACAAAAATACTATAAATATGAGCACAAGACATCAGACCATGATTTGTAGTTGCAGTTTATTTTTTTCTAATTTGTATGAAAATTGACAACAGGAGTACATTCTCATATTTCAAAAGCTGATCTGATTATTCAGTTATTAAGATAAACCACAACAAATCATTTCTATTAATTATTTCTCTACAACAAATATTGTATTCTCCATCATTTATTTATAAAATGATTCACATAAAGTGACTAACGATAGATTTGGAGTAAATAACTTATGAGCCAATCAGGGAGTTCGTGGTGTCGCTGTCTTTAGTTAGCATCAGAGTGACTGAATGAGTTAATAAATGAATGAAAACAGTAAAAGCCGACATCGCAGTACTTACAGCGCAACATGAAGTTCTTGGTCACATCCTCGAACTGCTGGATTTCGTGGGCACAGTTCTGCTGGTAGCTGTTCCCTTCCCTCTGCTGGCAGGCCCTCATACGCTCCTGGATCACCTTCACGATCTCCTGATCCACTTTACTGAGGGGACGAGACAGCAACACAGTCTCACTCGTCCATTCATTTCTAACTTGCTGCACAGAGACTACAAGAACAACGCCATCCCTGTGGCCAGGTAGTGTCCTACTCGAGCAAACCTCTCTTACTGTCAGTCTGATGTCTGGCTGTAAAAAGGCCCCGACAAATAAACTGCACAGTCAAAGGTATGACGACATGAACACTGCACCCATATGTGCTTCTCAGGATTTGACCTGGTTTGCAGTCTCTGTTTGGTGAAGGTGAGAGCTCTGTGCAGGTCAGTCAGACCCGTAAGCTCCTCTTGGTCTGAACCGCACAAGTATCCTGTTGCTTAAAATATCCATCACTAAAAGTGGACACAGCAAACAACAAACAGCATCAGATGTTGTTCCTTAAATCAGAAACCAGGTGCCACTAAACCTGCATGTTTTCACGTCAGCTGCTGTTTACATCTGACTGCTCCTCTCCTGCTCATATATACTGCACTTTAATAATGCTGGATTCCCAACAAAGCTGTTCTCATTTACATATTTTTCTGTTGTCAGACAATCGACAAGTGTGAAGCAGGAATAAAAACGCAGCTCATTAAAACTACGGGTTAATCTGCAGTTTCTTCAGAGCCTGTTGTTTCTCTGCACTGCTCAAACACTGTTGATATAACCACAGTATCTGACAAAATCACCAAACATGAGGTAAAAATAGCACCTGTACTGTAAATTCTGTGATATGTGCATACTACATGATGGCACAGAGAGAAAGAAGCGATGTCAGCAGCAGCTCAGCAGCATTTAAAGCTACAGAACCTGAAGCAGCCCATTTAGAGCAGAACTACAAACACAGGTTATGGCAGAACAAAGCCCCTGTCCGGTATCTGGAGCTGACAAATTGAGTCCCATTCAGGGGACACGTGAAACTTTAATTTATTTGTTGAAAAGGGGTTCAACATGTGATCCGTTAAACTGAGATAGCAGACGGATCGCTGTACTTTGGAATGATGCTCACGTTCACACTGGGACTCTGATCTGTGCTTTCCCTGCTATGAAAAGTCTAAATGTCTGCTGTAAACAAAGGTATACGAAAGCAAACATGAGAGACTTCCCGTTTTTATTTACTTTAGGTGTGTAAAAAATGGTGAAAATCTGATGTCACTTTGTCATTACTGAGTGTAGATTGGATGAAGATGCCAAATTAATTAATTTAAAAGTGATTCCAAAGCATAAAGTGTGCAAAAATCCCCAGTATATATCATGTGTAAGTCCATGACTCGGTACCAGTGTTTTGGGAACACAGGTGTCCATGTGAATGCTAAGTGCTGTCCCCCCTGCTGGACTCACTAGTCTCTCCTCCACTGCATCTCTGCCTCATAGTAGCACACATAGTCTCCCTCCTCGCACTCTGTCAGGTCGGGAACACGACGGAACTTCTGGTGGTAGTAGACCATCTTGTTTTTAGAGCGAATGTTGTCGATAGCATCTGAATGAAGAAGAAAACACAGTTCAGCACAAAGATAAAGCAGCTCAGGGTCACGGGCGGCAGGTTGCACTGTCTATCAACAACGCTAGCTAGCTAGCTAGCTAGCTAGCATAGCAGTTCGCTAGCAGTAACTCGGCTAACTCTGACCACCGGTGGCACAAAGTACAGCCCAGTCAGTGATTTAGTTATTGTCCACTTAAGCAACAGCATCGTTTTAAACGAGCCACCGGCGTGTCAGTGCAGCTCCCTCGGCTGCTGCTAGCTGTGTCGGTAGCGAGCCCGTTAGCCCGGTTAGCTCCAGTTACCTCTAAATGTGGTGACAGGCAGGTCCACGGAGTAATAAAAGAGTTTGGACAGAATCAGCGCCGGGTTCGGCAGCGCCGTCTGTTTATCCACAACCGGAGTCCGCTGGGGAGGCTCTGGATACACGTCTTTATCGTAATCTGAAGGCATCTTGCCTTGTTTTGTCCAAAGCCACAGAAATCCTACAATTCGACCTCGACTGCTCTCCTTTCGAGGCAGCGCATGCGCAGAACTCACACCACGATGGCGAATTAGAGGTCACGAAATCAAAATTTAAATATTATTTATACCTTCTTTGTTTTATTTAGAAGTTAAAATTAGATTTAAATGCTGTCTATTTATTATTTACAGCTAGAACGAACCCAGAACAGTGTTGTTTAACATGAAGGTCGAAGTGTAAAGGTCACAGGTTGAACTGTTGTACCACTTCCATACTATAGGTGGCGCTGGAGAGCTGGTTAAAATAACTGAAGCACTGGTGCATACACTGTCTGCAGGAGTTATAATTTATTAATCTTACAATGTTTGATTAGGCAATTAGAGCGTTTAAAGGCAATCACGTTTCATAACCTCCTTGTAGTCCTGTGGTACATCCTGTGTTATAGAGAATGCCAGTGTTTGTGTATTACACACGGCCACGATCCTGTAAGTCAGTTCACAAAGTTTTATCTCCCTTTCTCGAATTTAACATATTACTGACCATGTTAAGGTGCTGGTTCATCAGTAGCACAAAGAGAATAAATGTCAGTGACATGATGATCACCTCAACATCGTCTTTTATCTCCCATTGTTCTTCTTCTTCCATTAAATTGTTTTACTCCATTTTCCCCATGTTTTCAATGACGCCATCCTTGATGCTTCGGCAAGATTATAATTGGCATGAATATAATTCATGCCAATAAGGATACAGAATTGAGTTGAATTGAACTGGATGGAACTGAACTGAAGTGAAAGTTGTGCGTGTCTGAGATGATGAATCGATGTCCATGTGTAGTTGTTACCTGGTGCAGGGTCCACAGTATGACACTGTGTGAGTCTCAGCTGTGTGAAAACTTGCTGCTCTAAGTACATGTTTAGAACATCAGATTAATCCAAATACTTCAAACTCTCCACAGGGATGAATAAAGTCACCAATCAGGCCTCCATCTTTGTGGGAAAACATTGCAAATGCCTGATAACACACAATGAAATGTTTCTCTGTGATGACTTCTTAGCTGACCAAAGCACCGTGAAACCAGTCAGGAAACATTCAAATCTCTTTACAGATATTCAGCAGCATGCACATTCACATACACAACAGAAGACCAGAGGAATAATACATCAGCGTGAGGGGTCCAATGCGTGCTCTCTGAACCAGGAGGAATGACTATATGAGTCCTGGGGCAGAGCAGGTGAGCACTGACCACATGGAAACCTTCCTTTCTCTCTCCTTTCTTGGATGTGTGGCGCCGGGCCTCCCCACCACCTCAGACCTCTCACTTCACCCTCCTCCTTCCTGTCTTCTGCTGTCGGGACTTGGCAGAGATTGCCTTGTTTGAAAGTGAATACGTCTCTTGAAGCGGGCCAAACACCAAATTAGAGCTCTGTGTATCATCTTATGCATGACCCTCACATCAGCGCTGGTTTCTCTCCCTTTCTATCCTCCGCTGGGGCAGAGCGCAGACATGGTCAGTGCTCCTCGTGTTTTTGGTGCTTTTCTGCTTTAAAGGACAAAACATTGTGTAGCTGTTGTCTGCTTTCGTCTTCCACGTGCCTGCTGTGTGTAGAACTTATCACTTTCTCTGGTCGTTTGGCTTTGTAGGAGTAGATGAAGCGTATTAGACTCTTGTAATGGCTGCCTCTGAGGAGAACACGTGGAATACTGACATGGCAACTAGTTTTTCTATGACATAAAATCCTCTGAGTACTTTTTTTTTTGAGCTGGATTAAACGTGACAAAAATCAAAGCAAGAAGCAGAGAAACAGAAAGACAACAAACCTGAAGATGATGGGATTTAACTGCATGATATCTTTTTGATGATCCGTCTCACTTAAATGCTGGAGGAAAAATGTGGAAATTAGTTCAAGCTGTTGTTTAAAAACATGACAACATTTCACTCACTGTTGTCTTTGCACATTTACATCTTTGGTGTAAAGAGATGCACATCGAACATATTACACTATTCATGGATGTGGACAAACGTGTTCTGAAGACAGAGTGGGCTGCAACGGTCGACTGTTTCTGCTGTGAACTGAACATTTTAATAACCCAAACAGAACACAGTTCATGATAAACACAATTAATATTAAAACCTGCAGCAGCTCACTCTAAGTCCTGCATACATATATCCAGATGTGCCACTAAAGAGGACACATCTGGATATCATCTGTTACCTCCTATTGTTGTCCTCTTATTGTTATATTGTTCTTAGTCATGCCTGTGGCTCATCCATGTTGTCTAAGTGTCATATTGACTCTTTGTGGTTTATGTTATTTTGGCTTTTTCAGTCTCATCGCAAATTTCATGCCCCTCGCCACGGGCACATGGGGTTTCTGCCCTGCAAGCGTAGCAAGAAGCACAGGGGGAGGATCCGGACGTGGCCCAAAGACGACCCCGGCCACCCAGTCCACCTCACCGCCTTCCTGGGATACAAGGCCGGGATGACCCACACCCTGAGGGAGGTGCACCGAACCGGGCTCAGTATGTGGACTGATGGATGCACTGGACGCTTTAGAAAATAACATTTGCTTTAAATTCTACTTTATATTTGTTCAGTAGACGACATTTTTGTTGGTTTTCTTTGCACAGGGTTGTGAGATCAGGTGGTTCATGGTCCCTTAAAGCACTTTATTGTTTAATTAGGCTGTTAAGAACTCAAAGGCTCATATTCGGTGTCATCTCTGCGATATAGTGAGCTAGATCTGGGCTGAAGGAAAATGAGCCATATCTTCTGTCTAAATACCTCATTTAGCTCTACAGACAGTTCAAACACCAGCTACATGTGTTTCCCCCGACAGAGCAATCGAAGCGGGAAGAGGTTGAGGCGGTCACCATCATCGACACGCCACCTGTCATTGTGGTGGGTATTGTGGGATACGTTAAAACCGTCCGTGGTTTGCGTTCCCTGAAAACCATCTTTGCCGAGCATCTCAGTGACGAGTGCAAACGCAGATTTTACAAAAACTGGTAACTGACTCCACACAGTTTTTGCTTTCATATCATTGTTGTGTCCCATATTGCATGTTGTTGTTGCAAAAGAATGTCCTTCAGGATGAATAAAGTTTCATCTTATTCTTATATTAAATTGTGTTCAGGTACAAGAGCAAGAAAAAGGCTTTCACCAAGTACAGCAAGAAGTGGCAGGATGAGACCGGAAAGAAACAGCTGGACAAGGATTTTCATCTGATGAAGAAATACTGTTCAGTCATCAGGGTTCTCGTTCACTCTCAGGTGGGGCAGTGTTTCGGGGGACTAACTCTTCTGAAACCCTTCAACACAACAGCGGTGGAGAAACCTGATTTCATTGGCTGTAGTCTTATGACCGACAGCTTCTTGTCCTGAATCCTCCCCTCCAAAAGGGCACTGGTGTCGGAATCATCCGCCTGACTAGAAAGCAAAAGCCTCCAAATCTCAGACATGTTGGCAGTAGCCAAACAACTCGGACTCCCAGTCTGGGGGGGGGCCCTGGAGGACAGTTTCAAATAGCAGTTTAAAAATAATTTTCACATCAGAACCTGGCTGCTCATCCAGGCTTTGCAGAGGGAAAACCTTTATGTTGGCAGCAGACTGTGTGAAGATTGGCCAAGATCTTGATTCTTAGTGGAGCTGCTAGGATCCGGCTCTCTGTGTGCAGAGGGGATAAGATCAAACTCTGCTTTTAAATATCAGAGCTGTGGCAGGAGTTTAGACACAGTCACATGCCGAGTGATAAATCTAATTATAGTAGGGTCAAGTCAGGACACTGCACTGTTTTTGTTGACTTTAGAACTCCTTTTAGTTGCCGTTTACAGGCCTCACCGGTGTCTATGGTCTGTCCACAGATGCGATTTTTGCCCATAAAGCAGAAAAAAGCTCACATCATGGAGGTGCAGCTGAATGGGGGCAGCGTGTCGGATAAGGTGGACTGGGCGAAGGAGCACCTGGAGCAGGCTGTTCCTGTTTCTGCCGTCTTCTACCAGGACGAGATGATCGACGTCATCGGGGTCAGCAAGGGTCACGGCTTCAAAGGTAGGAAACGTTCTGCAAGTCGGGCCAGTTCCAAACCTCTCTGATGTGTGTCAACCGGGCCTGAAGGGAAGTTTTTGTTCTTAGGTGTGACAAGCCGCTGGCACACAAAGAAACTGCCCAGGAAGACTCACAAGGGTCTGAGGAAGGTGGCCTGTATCGGAGCCTGGCATCCCGCCCGGGTAGGCTTCACCATAGCTCGGGCCGGTCAGAAAGGCTACCACCACCGCACTGAGGTCAACAAGAAGGTGAGTCAGCGAGCACATCTAATCATGTTCAAATCTCCCCTCAAATAAGTTATAAGCATTACAATCTAAAGGTTTCTCATAGTGAGCTGCTCGGTGGTTATCACCGTCGCCTCGCAGTTGGAAGGTCGCTGGTTCACGTCCCGGTGAGGACACCCGGGATCTTTCTGCGTGGAGTCTCCATGTTCTCCCCGTGCAGCGTGGGTTCTCTCCGGGTTCTCCGGCTTCCTCCCACAGTCCAGAAACATGCTGAGGTTAATTGGTGATTGTAAATTGTCCGTAGGTGTGAATGTGAGTGTGCTTGGTTGTCTGTCTCTAAGTGTAGCCCTGTGATAGACTGGTTACCTGTCCAGGTGAACCTGCCTTCACCCTGAGTCAGCTGGGATAGGCTCCGCCCCCCATGACCCTGGTGAGGATTAAGGTGTGTAGATGATGGATGGATAGTTTCTCATAGTGTTTGCGTTCATTGTGTCCTCAGATCTACCGGATCGGTCGAGGCGTTCACATCCAGGACGGAAAGGTGGTCCGGAACAACGCCTCCACTAACTACGACATCACCCAGAAGAGCATCACTCCCATGGTACAAAACCCCGACTATCAAATCACATCTACCAGGAAGGGAACCCCAGTAACAATCTCACAATTCTAATGTGTTGGTGTGAATGTAAAACGCATCGTGTTTGCATTGTGCACGATGAACTGCCACAACAGACTCATTGTTTTATTAGTAGTTTAGCATGAAATCTTGAAGATGTTGTGAACAAATCTGTAGTTATGGCATATGAGGTGTGTACTGCATTATGGACTGCATAAAAAACTTTAAGATAAGTAACACCTCATGTTTTCCTGCAGGGAGGTTTTCCTCGCTATGGTGAAGTGAATAACGACTTTGTTATGGTGAAAGGCTGCGTTGTCGGATCTAAGAAGCGTGTTCTCACCCTCAGGAAGGTAAACCGTGCTTCTCAAAGTCTGATTTTATACCCCACAGGCAGCCTTGCAGTGTCAATGCATCATTGAACTTACAGGCCTTTTGTCAGATAACTAATCTCATCCAGTTTCAAAGGGAAATCCACTGTTTGCAGGAAGTGTGTGTGTGTTCTTCTTCACAGTCTTTGCTCACTCACACATCACGCAAGTCCAAGGAGGCCATTGAACTGAAGTTCATCGACACCACCTCTAAATTTGGCTACGGACGCTTCCAAACTGCCCAGGAGAAGAGGGCATTTATGGTGAGTGAGGGGAAATCACAACACTAGGAAGGGAGGAGAAGAATGACTGGAACATGTGAAGGAGTGCTATTTGTCAGCACCAGTATGAAGTTACTCTGCACTATTTTAACCTCAGACCTCTGGTTCACCTGCAGGGGCCGCTGAAAAAAGATGCCCAGAAGATACTGCCAGAAGCCCAGCCAGAGGAGGCCTGAGGGAACGCAAAATATTCTTGTAAAATAATAAAACTGAGCTTCAAATACACCCTCTAACTCTTCTGTATGAAAGGTCTTTGGTGATATTTAGCCATTTTTGTGTGTTTTAGCTGCATCACCTGTTTGTTTGCAGGCTAAAGACAGCAACATATTTAAAGTTTTAAACAACTTTTATTCTTTCGTTGATAAATCCATGAGGCTGTCAACACTGTGCAGACAAAACATGCATCATGGCAGCTTGGTTGAACGGCTCTGAACGTTTTTCAGATGATCATCTCCACGTTTTTCAGTTTCTGTTTGGATCAAGATTGCAATCCTGCACAGCGGATTAGAAAATGGATGGACAGTGTGAACAAATAGCATCCTCTTCGAAAGACATTCAGTTTTTTGTGGCCTTCTGTCTATTTAGAAAAAAAAGTCTGCTGTCAGGGTGTTAGATACAGTTCAGCCAGCTTCACAGTAGGGGGCGCTACAGCACCGTTCTCACAGTCTCCAGGTCACTGCCAAGCTCAGGGTAGCTTTAAGCTCAGCCTCAGAATCCATAAGACATTAATTTTTCATCAACCAAAGAGCAGTTCTACTCTGACAGGTAGTCCTGGGACTCCATGGAGGACTGGTGGGACGAGGAGTGGATGGAGGACTGGTGGGACGGAGGTGGGTTATCCAGGCCGGACGTCATCAGGGGCAGATACAGATCATCCATGTTCGGCATGACAAACACTTTCTGTTGGAGGACAGAGGTCAACAGAAACACATTTAAAAGTGCAGTGATGCAGTAAACGCCTCCTGTCGTGGTCTTGGGTTTATTTCCTGTTTTATTTTGACATTCCCTGTTCTTGTGTATCTGTTTTTGCTTAACTTCCTGCCTTTGTCTGTTTCCCTCTCTTTGGATTCACCTCATTAGTTTCACCTGTGCAGGAATCTGTGTGCTGCCCTCCTGCTCACCTGCCTGGTTTTCTTCATGTTCCTTGTCTGACTTTGGTTTGTGCATTTCGGTTTTGCCATTTGATTTCTTGCTTTAGTGCAGGGGTGTCGACATCCGGTCCTCGAGGGCCGCAATCCTGCATGTTTTAGATGTTTCCTTCTTCCAACACACCTGATTCAAATGATCAGGATCGTTATCAGACTTCTGCAGAGCTTGATGATGAGCTGATCATTTGAATCAGGTGTGTTGGAAGAAGGAAACAT